TATTACAGCTGGGGTTAGGATTAAGGAACTGGAAAGAGCAGCTGGATGAAGAGAGATTTATGCAGAAGGATATTTAGAAGTTTGAACAATTCAGATGGCAGTAAACAAAGTGAACAGAAGTAAAAATAATGTCTTTTATCTTGGATTTCCTGTTATGGTACAAAGGAAGATTAAGGCAGTGGTTAGATTTTGTGGGTTTTATGTGTTTGAACACACATAAACCTACCTATGGGGAAAAATCATGCTGGTTATACTTAACCAAGCTGAGGTTCTGAGCTCTGCGAGGTCTGGGACAGACATTTCTCTCTGAATTCAGGTAAGCCAGTGGAGCAGGTTATTTCTCAGAACTGTTTTCATTACTGTACAGTAGGTTACCTCCTTTGCTGGCAGCATACATCATCTGTGGGCTTTCCTGACAGAGCTGGGGTAGGGAGCACTCCCATAAGCCCCTCAGTCACCAGGTTGTTAAGTAGCTTCCAGCAAGCACTAGCAGGAGATAAAATCTAATGGCAAAGCAGGACTCTTTGGAAGACAGCTGTCCCCTACCTTAAATCAGAGCGAATCACGTCTCTTGCTGCTTTCAGTTTAACTGTAGAAAGTGAAACAAAACAGGAGCTTCCTCAGTAGTAAAGAACTGTGAAGAGTATGTGTGGGTTTTGGCAATCTAGCACCTGACAGAAGGTGCTGGATATGACTTCTTTAAACTGAAACCTGTCTGAGTGAGACTCGTTCCTATCTAAGTGTGGTTTGTTTTGAATTAAATTGATGGGGAACTAGTTCCAGCTGAAGCTCTGGAATCGGTCGCAAGCTGAAATAAATGGCCCAGTTGGAGCTCTCACAGGTTGAACTGCACCAGAGAGGCATGATTTCCTTGTTATTTTTTCTGGGTCTGTTTGAGTTTCATAACTGGACACCTGCAAGTGCAAATCGGGCACTTTTATACATGCAAACTATGCAGTTCCAGTGTTAGTAGCCAGTGGCAGCAGAGGGTAGGTTTGTTTAACAAGTACCTGGGGTTTGGGGAATTCAGCCTTGTGTCTATGACTCTTATGCAGGTGCAGGAATCTTGGAGCTTAAGCACGCAGTGGTTTGTGTTCCAGAAATGTGACTAAGAAGTTTGGCTAGGTTAAAACCTGTCTTATCCCATTTTCCTTTATATTTCTAAAAAAAATTTCTATCTTTCCCCTTATTTATCTCCATAAAGTTTCTATAGAGGTATAACATAATTGTGGCTAACTGCATCCTGTAAAATCAGAGAGATGGGTTTTACCGTTTGGCATAAGCCTACCTCTCAGTAGCATAAGCAAATACCAGATGTTAAATACTCTGCAGGAAGAAAGCTTGACATGAAACAAACATTTATTAAAAAGGACTGTACAGACAAATTAAACAGGTAGCACACTGTTACTCCTACTGGGAACAGGAATAAAATATTTAAAACACAGAAGCCAGGGAAAGCGCCAGATATTGCTTAAAATACCTAAATGCTAAAATGAAAACCTATGTTGGAGGAATTAGAAAACTCTAAAATAAAGGAAAGCACTTTTATTTCTTTTAAGTGCTAGTAAAGTCTCAATTTCTGGAATAGTATGCTATTTAGAGTAACACATCAATGGGTATTTCTTAAAAATTAGATTCTGTAACTTGAAGCCACTGGCAGGTTCCGTCAGTCAGTGTCCTGTTCAGAAGGGTAAAGCTGAATTCAGGAAGTGCAAGTATTAAAATTTGCCTTAAATTTTCTGTATCGTTAACGGTGTCCTTGGCACTAAAGTTTGAACAACTGATAGACCCCAGCTTGGATACAAAAATTTCTATAGCAAAGCCTTCAGACACAGTAGAGTGTTTGCATCCATTTAGCATGAGTTTAAGGCAGGGGAAGAGGCTTGTGATTTTTTTGCCCTTTGGTTGCAGAACAACAGGACTATCTGTCCTTTGAGGCATGTGAGGAAGCAGCAAAAGACCCTGGGACCATCTACAGCAAAAGAATCCAGTTATTTTCTTGTCACTTGAATACTTATTGAAAAGGGAATGACAAAGCCAGGGTTAAACCAGACTTTAGTAATGTAGAAGTCTTGTAAGCTTTGAGTAGGGTCTCTTTGTGGCTACCAAGAGAATTTAACCCAAATAAGAATGAATTTATGCCAAGTGAAGAAGCATCCTCAAAGAACCTGAGGTACAAAGGAAGCGGCCGCTGTTGCTCCACAGAGCAAAAATGCAGTAGACTTGTGGTAAGAACAGCTTCCTCCTGACTAAAAAACAAGAAATCAATTTGAGAAAGGCGCCTGGGAGAAAAGGGTCCGGGGCTCTCATGAGAAGAACTCTTCAGTTAAACTTCCTTAAATAATTAGTGATAGAAAAGGAGACTACTGCTTCCCTATGAAAGACAGTGCTTCCCTCCCTCCTCCCACCCACAGGATCCCTTAATACATAATACAGATTTTTGTCTTCTTGAAATAGAGTCATAGAATATCTCAAATTGGAATGGACCCATAAGGATCATCAATTCCAACTCCCTGCTCCTCGCAGCACTACCTGACACTAAACCATATGACTAAGAGCGTTGTCCGGATACACACTGAACTCCTGACAGGCTTGGTGCTGGGACCGCTTCCCTGGGGAGCCTGTTCTAGTGACCAGCCATCTCTCAGCGAAGAACATTTTCCCCATGTCCAATCTGAGCTTCCCCTGATGCAGCTTCACTCCATTCCCCTGTGTCCTGTCGCTGGTCACCATAGATATATCAGAACCTCCCCCTCGAGAAAGCTGTAGACTGCAATAAGGTCCCCCCTCAGCCTTTTCTTCTCCAAGCTGAACAAGCCAAATGACCCCAGCCACTCCTCTTAAGTCTTGCCCTTGAGACTGTTCACCATCTTTGTCACCCTCCTCTGGCCACGCTCTAGTATTTTGATGCTCTTTTTACACTGAGGTGCCCCAAACCGCACATGGTACTTGAGGCTGCACTGGTGCAGTGTAGAGTGGGCAATCATCTCCATCGACCGACTAGCGACGCTGTGCTTGATGCACCCCAGGACACAGCGAGCCCTTTGGCTGCCGGGGCACGCTGCTGACTCACGTTTGGTTACACTCATTCTCAGCAACGCTCTATTCATATGGCAGCACTTCACAAAGGATGTGAAAGCAGATTTGTAAATGCTCGTACATGATAGATACAAACACAGTATGTCATAAAAAAAAGCTCTGTTAAATGTGAGGGAGCAAAAGTCTAGTTTAAAAAAGAAAAAATACAGAACTGCCATACTAAATCATTAAATGGTGTATCCTTTAAGCATACTTCAGTTTAGAGCTCTAGAGATTTCCCAAGAAAGAATAAATCTGGCAAAGGAACAGTGAAGTGAGAGCAGCTGCAACTAACCCTATCTATTTCAGAACTGTAAATTAAAGTTTCTACAAGTCTTTCTATTCACACTACTTCATTGCAGAGTATTTGTCCATACTCGCCACTACTTAAATTGATGTACAGCTGTCACCAAAGTATGCTGCTCTCATGTATGCACTTTGGGGGAGTCCATGTACTGTCCCTTAACTCTGTGTGCATCTTCTCTTAAACTCGGTAGGAGCTGGTCTGTACAGGGCAGGCAGCATGTGGCTGCTCTGACATTTACAAGTAGAATCCAGTATTTGCGTTAGGAAACGTGCATAACAGCAGAGTTGGTGCACGACTGCCTTTTGGAGTGTGAGTTCAGACTGTCCTCTGTTATTGCTATTTCACAGAGACGGAATCGCAGTAATTCAGGTAACAGAATCTGTTCTTTACACATTTTCAGGGGCACGTGGTCCACATTCTCTCCCTGCTGTTGGCTATGAAACGGTAAAGCGGGAGAATACCAACTGAACTTGGCATAAATTATAGGACTGTAATCAATAAAATACTGATATACTTTATGGCGGAGTTGGGAAACTAATGGCAGCGTATGCGATTTGGCCAGCAAAATTGGTTTACGTGGTTCTGTTCAGTCCCTGGCATTTGGCAAAGTTTCGAGGAAAGACTTGGGGCTTCCCTGTTTTTCCAGTTTAACAAGCAAAGATCTCAATATAACCACTCTAGTATAATAGTAGAGGAAAACCTGGGCTAAAGAGAGAAGAATGTAAACAGGCACTTTGTGCCTCCTGACTTGAGATCAGTTTAGACAACGAAGACGGTGACAAAACTGGGATTAGAAATGACTTCAGGTTTTAAGCCCCAGTTCTGTAGTTGGGTCACTGCCATCCTCCCCCTTGCAGGAACTTTCATGTGAGATGAAATAAAGGGAAGACGTGGATACAGGGAGTGGTCTAAAGGGTTCTTTTGGCACACATACAGAGCAAGGAAAAAAAAAAACCTGGGCTGGAGTAAAACTTACTTGAAAGTGGCCTATTAAAAGGTACAAAAATGGGAAGCTTTTGTTGAGGGAGGACGATGACACCAAAGCCAGGCAGATCGGTGAAATACATCATTTTCAGTTTACGCTGTTCCTGGTGCATGTTACTGACCTTCCCTGTGCTCCAGTGGAGGATTTGTCTGCCAAGGGAGATTTTGGCTGTGTAAACCAGGAACAGAGGATGTGCAGATTGGCTGACGTTGCAGTCTGTGCACATGGAGATTTGGGGTAATTCATGCATGTTTCCTAGAGAACCACAGTGAGCTGGTTGGCTGTAGAGCCTACGAGGACCACTAATACAGTTCACTTGAGCCTTGTACTTAAGTCAATCTGTCTTCTGACTGCTGAAAATAATACCATAGTAAGACGTTAAAGTATAAAAAATTACATCATTTTTAGAAATTCGTACACAGCCAGCAACTTGATCTTCCTTCCACGTTTTAGGTCAAGTTTGAGGAAATGGTACAACCAAACTCCAGTAAATCAAAACTCACTTGTGTCCTTCATGCACTGATTTCTTGTATGACCAATTTCTTTTTCCCCCTGAACATTTCCTGTATAAAGAGCTCTACTGGATACCTAAACCCATGCAGTCTTACTAGCTTGGAAAACAAATTGTCGTTTAGTGAAACGAACAGTCTGCTATTTCAGCACTTCAAATAGTCTCCTGTTATCAGGAGAAAGCAGAGTAATCCTTTAGTAACATCTGTTTTTAGAAAAGCATTTGTGGTGAGCACATCTGGCCAACGGGAATAGCCTGGCATTCAGGATACTTGCATAAGAATTCTAGTTTGTTTAGGAGTCCGGAGGTGGAATGATTGAAATGTTTAACTGTAGCACCAGTAATACTTACTTTCCTAAAACCAAATCCTAAGGACTGGAAGGAAATTTAAGACAGAACAGGAACATTGTGCTTACATCGCATTAAATAGAAAACAATGGGTTGGTCATACGTGAGTCTGCACTTCAGTAAAGTCTGGCCACATTTGCAGTTCTACTGGAAGAGTACTGGAACACGCCTTTGCTTGGCAGTCTTCTGCGTTTCATTCGTCCTGTTTCCTCTTGGGCTTTTTGGGGTTCCGAGATCGGCTCTTTGCTTTGCAGAGCGGACATATGGGCGCATTCCGATGGATTTGTTGGTGACACGACAAACATGCCTGAAATGAGACATCGCAGCCTCTCGTTACTGACATTTAAGTGCTGCCAACTGAAAAACTAGAGTATCTCACTGAAAAGTTCAGCGGGTCCAGGCACATATCAGTAAGTTTAACATTAAATTCTATTTTGTGTTAAATGTTCCACATGTTTTAAAGATGTTTACGTGCATAGTAGCTCACTAACCCAGAGAAGTTACAGTGAAAGCCAACTGCGGGGTCACAGAATTCAAGGCAGGAGCAGGTGACTGGGTGAATTCTACGTATTTAACACAAGGTACAGGACTCTGCCCTTTTGCTCCACGCTAAGCCCTTTAACTTCCCTTTGGCTGAAGCTTGTTACTTCCAGAAAGGCTTTTCAATGGCCATACTCCAGATAGTAAGTACTTAACTACAGAATGTTCTTGCATCCATTTGCCTCCTTAGTCAGGGAATCTTTGGAGGTTGGAAGGGATGAATATCCCTGTGGAATTACTTAGCTCTGTTTACTGACTACAGGAGGAGCTGAGTAAAACTGTCACTGAAGTACCTGTGGTTAGATAAATACATACATTAGTCTTGACTTGAAGATCCCAAGAAGTGCAGAAACAATCACCTCTCCTGGTAATCTGTACCATCAGTAATTACTCTCCCCTCATAAAATGTGTGTTGCTTCTAATATGAATCCATTTGGGATTAACTCCCAGCTTTTAGTTTTTATTTTGCCCAGCATTTATTTTTCTTACGTGCCTTTCTCCCACGTGAAACAAGAGGAGTGGGAATTGCCTACATCTCTGCTGATGGAGACTCTTAAGTCATAAAGGAGTCAAACTGTATTTGTTCTTAACCCTTGATGAGTGGTGCTGCTACTTTAAGTTTACTGGGGTCGCTCTTGATTTGAACCACTGCAGGAAAAATTGGAAAGGGGACACATCATTTTTTCCTTTTTTGTAAGTATTGATCAACTTTATAAACATAATAGTTCCAACGAGAAAACCCAGCACGTTGCATCTCCTGACCTTCATTGGAGGTGGCTGTTGTCTGAAGGTTGCTGTCTGTCTGGTATCTTGTTTCCTGGCCACTTGCAGCTGCTGGGCGGCTGCTGCAGCTGCAGCCAGAGACTCTGGGATGGGAGGCTCCTGTGGTTCTGTCTGCCATTCTGCTTTCTGCTTTTCAAAGTAGCTAGACAAAAGGAAAACAAAACATATAACCACCTTCTGGAGTGTTCTATTAGTTTGCAAAGGATATTTTGTGTTGTAATGAATCACATTGCCCTGTCATGTTCCTCCACTAGAGTCAAATTGCCTACACTTAGACGCCACTTGGACTAGCTCATCAATAGAACTGGTAGTACTTTCCTCTGCACTTGTATACTTCAGCCAGATTGTCAGCTTCTAAGGCATCTTCACGTACAGCTGCATATAAATCCAATAGGATGGAAAACAGAAAACACACATTTAGTATTTAACAGCTTGAGATACACCTCTGTCAGACCTTGGTTTTTATATTCTATGCTGTTAAAATTAATAACTTTTATATGCAATAGATCAATACATTCTTTGTACTCTCAAAGTGCTTGGAATGGAAAACAGCATTTCTGAAGAAATGCAAAAGAAATCCTGAAAACTACGTGCTGTGAAAGCGATGCCGAATGTGCTGGGCATGAAGAGAAATGCAAGTGTCTTAAAACATCAGTTCTGCAAAGGACAGTGAATAGAAGCTAATTCTGTCACCTTCCCTCACTTAGGTTATACCTAAAAATGAAACTGTAATTTTTAATCCAAATCTATTCCACATCTAGGGTAAACTTACTTGTGGCAGTCACAGGAATATGGCTAAATGCCACTGCCGTAGGAATGCAGCAAAAGTAAAATTCTGACTAGCGGCAGCAGAACAAAAGTAAAATGACAAAATAACCACTAGAATCGAGAGAAGGTATAAGGCCAGATGATGCTTGCTTTGGACACTTACTCAAGGGACAGTTTCTCTTCCTCCTCACACAGATCTGGCAGCCTCTGCAATCCCAGAGTCATCCGCAGAGCATCTACGTGCTCCTTCAGGGGTTTGTACTCCTCGTGCAGGCGACGAGTAGACTCCAGGAGCTTGTTGAGATCGTTCTCCGATTGCTTGATAGTGTTTTCCATCTGGAACAGGAGGGTGGGCATGGCTTTAATAGCTCTGTGAGTCAGAGGCTATCAAAAGGAAGAGATTTTTCTCAAATTGGAAGAGATTGGAGACTGCAGGAGTAAAACGAAGAGTTAAGATATCGGGCGCATTAAGAAATTAGTTTAAAAAAAGGTGTGCTCAACCTATATGACCTTCTGGACAACAGAAAATGCAGGCAGGCTACAGATAAGCCAGCAAGTGAGGAGCTGTGGAAAACTCAAGGGACATTAACAAAGAAATCAAAGTAGAATAAACTGATTTTCTTTGTTTCTAAAATACCTGAACGCCAATGGTTAGAAGTTAACAGACAAGCTGAGGAAAGGTTCCTGCTTCTCTAAATGCGAAAAGCAGCAGAGAAAAAGACAGGAAAAAGGGGAGGATGAAACAGAGACTGAGGTTATGCAGCTGGGCAGGGGAATAGACATTTCAAGTGACAAATAAATGCAGCCCGCACATCCAGTGCAGAGCTTGTACTTGCGTACATTGTGGGAGCTTTTTTTTTTCTGGTGCAAAACACAGATACCTTCCGAGCTAGAAAACACTGTACAGTCATGTAAGTGCCCTAACGTGATGTAAAATCTGCACTTTAAAAATAGATATCCCCCATTTAGCCCCTCTAATTGACTCATCTTCCTTGTTTATAAACTGTTTTTCTCTTATTTGTATTAATTCCCTTCAGGCTGGTGCTTCTTAATGTCTGGAGGTTTCACTCAGTGATGAAGCTCAGCTTTTACTAAGAACTTAACAGATACGTTTTTCCAAAATCTCTTTTCTTCCCAAAACCTCCCATCAAAAGTCCAACCCAGCTGCCAAAGTTTCTCTGTTTCCAGGTGCTACATGAGAAAAGCCTAACAGGAAAACCAGTTTGCTGTGGGACTAACAAAGTGATGTTACTGTGGCTACTGGTCAAGTTGTAGCCACAGTGGGTTTGGTTATCTGTCCTCTTGGTGCAAATGCCTATGGCAGCATTACAAAATACCCTGCCCAACATAGGACTAAACAATTATCCTGAGGTAAATTTACTCTGCTTTCCTTGTAGGACCATAGGATGGTGGTGTAACACCCAGATTATTGACCCAGTGATAGTTCACTGATGCACACAATTCCACAACCTGTGGAGTGATAAACAGCTGTGTTTTAGGCTGTCCACAGCTGGACTGTTGCATACCACATTAATGTCAGCGTGGATCAGTCGCAGCTCCTCCACGTGGGCCATCTTCTCTTGCAGCAGGAGGTCCATTTCCTGTTTGTATTCTTTCAGGTGCCTCTCCTCGGACTCCAAGGCTTCAAATTCTGCTTTCAGCCGTGCCTTTATTTTTTCCATCTGCAAAGTCTTATTTCTGGATCCCAGGCGTAATTAAAAATACAGAGACAACAGTAAGTCACTGCATCATATTTTTGTGAGGTGTCAGTTTATATATGAATAGATGGAAGAAGGTGATAGCAGTAATAGGCAAGGGTGAGACTAAATGTGTCCGAGAAAGGATGAGGTGCAATGAGAGAACTGAATTCTGATCCCAGCTCTTTTGCTGAACTTTTCAGTCCTATGGGAATTCTTGTACTGCATTATGAAATTAACAGAACATTGTCAGACTTTGGCAGTTACTGTAGATTCACTGAATTTAATCTGTACCAATAGAGTTCTACTGCATCAGTTCACTTGGATAACCTAGTTCCAAGATAGAGAAATCCAGAAAATCTGGGAGGTTTAGCACAGGATTCTGAGAAAGGATGTAAATGTAAAATGAATCACAGGTGAATAAAGTGTCATATATACTGACTAAATTTGCACTAATATGAACTGCTGAAACACTAACTTCAACTGCAGGTTAAAGAAAATTCCAGAGTGATGACATAACAGAACAGTAAAACGTCAAATTACGCTGGCTGTCAAGATCCCTCTTGCAAGTAACTCTGTGTTCTCTTGGTTCTTTGCTAAGATCTAATACCTGTTACATATTTCTGAATGTTTCTGCCCATATCATGCATTCTGATTTTTTTTCAGTTGTGACAATCTGTAGTTCCATAGCAAAAACGTTCACATACTCAGTCCTTATCTCTCTCATCAAAGCTTACAATCAAAGAGTGTGATTTTCAGTCATCAGTTTTAAGCAGCAGAACAGCCGACTGCTGCTGAACAGAACAAACAAACTGGTTTTGTTCCTGCCATTTAGGTAATGACAAAGCCTTAGTTATCTTTCCTGTACTGGAAGTCAGACTATGATGCTGGGTAACCAACGTGTAGACAACACGTAGATGTTTCTAACAAGGAGCTGTGATGTCTGACAGCAGTCACTAAGTGTGCAGAGTTTGTCGTAGGATTTGTCATCAGTCAGTTCACTCTAATTTTCTTTTATCTCCTCCCAGCCAGAACACTGAGGTCCAGTCTTCAGGTACTGCCTTTATTTCATGACAGGGTTTATTTCTGTGGAACTGCTTAATGCATATAAATAAGCATGTACAGATATGTTTGGATTGTGGGCATATACATGTAGAGCATAGCAGCATTCCACTGACTACAAATGATATGTATACATCTATAGATGCAGGTACAGAAATAGATACAGGTCTTTGAAATGAGATGTCAGAATCCCTTCAAAAACAACTCAGCTGCACTTAGTTAAGGAACAGAGATCAACCACAAGAATGGGCTGTTTATTTGATTTTGGTTGTGAGGGCATTTTTCCTCTCTGCCTGTAGAATAATACATGGAATGCAGATTAAAATAAAGCCTGCCCAATCTATCAAAGGTGTGTCTGTAGATAAAAGAAATTCTCGTGTTTAGTTTGAAGGAAAATCTTCATAGAATGCAAGCTCCTTTTAAAAGATATGAGGATAAAAAAACAGGCTTATTTGGTCAGATTTCGTTAAAGACGACTCACGATTGACAGCAATTTTGCAAGTAGGATTGACTTTTTGACGTTTTTAAAATTTAAAATATATTTAAGCAACTTTCTTGATACTTCATTGTACACTAAAGCCAGTAACATCAACGTCACCTTATTCCACAAACTAATACCAAAAGGTCTTATTTACAGTTTATATCTAGCCTTTGAATTCATTATCAGAAAACCAAATGCACCATAAGTTTCCAAATACAGGATACCACTCTCTGAAAAGATAATTTAATGAGATATTTAAATTAAGTGTTATAATAATTACACCACAAGCTGCAGTAGGCCATATTTAGATCTGTATTTTAAAACAGAGACCTAGAGTTGAGTAGAAAAGCACTGTTCTTACTTTGCCAAGTATGTGTTGTCCCATCCCTGTCCACAAACAGTTTGGACGTGCTATACACACCGATATTTTTGCTTGATCTTTGTGGTACTGCATGGAGGTGGCTGAGGACTGTTTTAACGCTGCCTAATTTGCCTCTTCCATGGGTAAAAGGTGCTTCTGAGAGGTGCCACTACCAGGCAGAAGCCTCTGTGGCCACCAGCGCCTTTGTCCCTCGCCCTCTCTCCCCATGGCCCCTCTCCAGCTGTCATGTCCCCAGACACCTCTCACTGTCAGCAAGCCTTGCACCACCCAGCTCCATTCGAAATGGCTCCCCTCGCTTGCTCTGTCATGAGTTTGGCTTTTGAACGCAGCAATGCCAACTAAATACACACAGCTCGGGCCCCTCCTAAGCCCAAGGGTGGAGCTGCCCTGCCCCACGCTAAGGAAAAGGCACAAATTCCCGGTGCATAGCGCCGCGGTGTCCCCATCCATCCCCCACGTTACACCCCTGTTTCGGAGCGGTGGCCAACAAGAGCAGGTGGGGATCCCCCCCGGGGCTCCTCGGCCCCGGGCGGGCGGGGAGCGGCGCGGAACGGAGCGGGCTCGGCGCTAGCTCCGCTGCTCCCCCCGCGTAGCACAAATTCCGTGTCCCCCCCCCCTTGCGCATAAATAATAGATCTATGACAGCGAGCATCAGGAACAAGAAATAATAAATAAAAGGGGTTTAAAAAAACCCCGGCTTGCGGCCCGACACCACTCCCCCAGCTGCGTGGGGCCCTTCCCACCACGCACTCTGCCTTCTCCTGCTGCCACTCGGGGCTGGATCCCTGGAAATGCGCGACCATCGCCGCCCTTCGCTGCGCAGTCAGTCCGGCGGCGACTCCCAGCAGGAGATGCTCCTTCGCTACGTGGAAAAAACATGTATTTTCGGCTCTTACCACAAGGCCCAGCGGCTGGTTTGCTTTCCCTCAGGAGCACAATAGCTACTTTCAGATCGATGCAACTCCTCCGCTCCCCCGAGGAAAAAAGCTGCTTCGCGTTAACTGATGCGGCACAAAGCAAACGTACCTGATCTCCTTGATGCTCTCGAGTTTACACATAATTTCTTGCTCATCTGCCATGCTTTTCACTCCCGATTTAAAGCTCTCGTGGAATGTACGAAATGCCAGGGGGGGGTTAGTAAAAAAGAAAAAAAACATACAATAGACACAATGTAGTCACCCCCTCCCAGCATACGGTGTCTGAGGCTGTGCGGCAGGCGCTGGTGGGACCTCTGGGACTTGGAGTCCAGGTCCCCGCTGCTGCCCGGGCAGTCCGGCAGCACGGAGACTACAGCACCCACAAGGCAGAGCAGAGCTTTCCTGCCCTTCTTCCTGCAACTACATTTTAAATCAATTTGTCACGCCTCATTATGTCAAAGGTTGTTACGAGTGCGAAGAGGCTTCCTCCGGAGGGCTGTGCGATGTTTAGCATTTCGTTACAATGATTTCATCAAAATACACACTAAGAGGCTGCTGAAGGAGTTCACGATTTTGATTACAAACTTTTTGGACACTGGCATGGTTTAGATAGGGTTCGATCACCCAATGACTCCTCCCCACCTGGAAAGGGAAAGTGGGAAAAGGGAAGAAGACTCTTGGGTTGAAATAGAAACAGATTTAATATAATAATAACAATAACAACAGCAGCAGCACCACCACCACCACCACCCCCAGTAACAACACCACCACCCCCAGTAACAACAACAACAACAACAACACCCCCCAGTATTAACAGCAATATTAATATGAAGTACACAAAGCTATGCTCAGCTGACACAGTGGTTGCAGTGAGCGGGGCAGTAGGCCTCAGGAGCAGAACAACAGATGAGACCCTCCAGAGATGATGACCATTGAGGAAAGAGGGCCATCCTCAGTAAAGTCCTCATTTTATAGTGAGCGTGATGTTTATGGTATGGATTCCTTGGCTAACTGAAAACTGCTGAAGACCTTGATCACTGCATACCAGCGTTGGCCAAAAACTAAACCAAAGTGTCTTATCGTCTTTGTTTCCACTAACTGGAGTACGGCAATCTTTGCAGAAATGCAGCTTTCCTAAATAGAAAATTGGTTCTACCTCAGCGAAGCCAGGACAGACACAAAGAGAAGCTGTAGCCATTATTACTACAGTGCTGTTTTCTGCTGGATGCTCTCAGTGGTGTGACTGTACCTGGAGTTCAGAAAAGACATATTTTGTTCTTTAGGTTTTTCTTTTTTGTTTCTGCTACTATGGAAAGAGAATGCAAATAAAAGTGTTGGATTGAGGAAAGTGACCATTTGCCTTTCTGTGGCTATTCTAGCCAAGAATATCAGAGCACTTTACAGAGACTGCTGAACAGTCTCTCAGTCTTTCCTCAGCCAGATGATAATTTTTCTTTGACTTCTGTAATGCACTAAGCACTGTGTTTTACATTATGAAGATAACAGTTAAATCTCAACTCTTTGGAGGGTCTCTTCCAGGATCTGCCCTAAGGGATTCACAGCGTAAATTCATGATTCTTCACCTGTATGGCCAAGTATTTCCTCTGGGTTTTACCAGCTCTGATGGCCATGCTGGGCTGAAGGGTGGGCACATGGGGATGAATGTTAAGCTCAAGGTCTGGGCAGTTAAAAAAAAAATAGGAAAATTCAGCAAATCTAAACTTGTGTGTGTGACAGATGCACAAGCAGCAGTGCTGTAGCCTTAGTGAACATAGCAGCCCACTCACCAGTCAGTAGTGTGAGCCTGATGAGAACAGGGCAATTATGCTGGAATATATTACATATTCCAATATGCAATATGTACAATATAAAGAGGGCAGGCTTCTTTGATGCATGATTTAAATAGATGAACTAATTGATTTGAGGGGGTAGGAGACAAGATAGCTCCAGCGGGCCAGTGAATCTTGTTGCTAAGACACTGAAGGAGTGAACGCAGGCAGGGGGAGGGTAAGAGAAAGTCCCCTCTCACAGGAGCGACGTGAATCCCAGGCAGTATTTTCATTTTGGATTTTACAGGCTAAACCAAAAGGTCGAGGGCAGAAAATGAAAATGCAGAAGTTCAACTTCTTACTTTGCTCTGCTTTGAATGACATAAAGAAAACCACAAAGTGTTATAAAATATTTGGAAGTTCTTTGACAGGAAGCGAGTCTCCCCACAAGCATTAGCACGTATTTTTCTCTCCTTGTTTAAAAAAAGGACAGAAAATACTACATCTACATATTTCAAAGTGGTCACAGTTTGAGATGTATGGTGTGTTATATGGATTTAGGAATACTTTCAATGGTGTAATACAGATATAGAGATGTTTTTAATTCTACATAAACAATAGTTGAGAAACAATTCTAATCACTGCTCTTCCTCACCTCTGGGGTAGGACCTCCCCGTCCACCCCTGCATTGCTAAGACTCACATCACTGATCTGTTTGGACTCTTCCTGTTTCACTACAGAGGGTGGAGGCTCTCTCCTCACAAGGAGCCACATGGAGAACACAAGCGGCAATGGGTACAAGTTGCATCAGAAGACCTTTAATCTTGATGTAAGAAAGACTTCTTTTACAGTGGGAACAGTCACTGGAACAGCCTCCCTAGGGCTGTGGTAAAGTCCCCATCACGGGAGGTTTTCCAGATGCAATTGGACAGGGTGCTGGATAACGTCATCTGGGCGCCCTTTCCCAAGAACGGTTGGAATGGGTGAGCATTCGAGGTCCCTTCCAACCTGGGCTGTTCTGTGGTTGTGATCCACTGCATTGCATTTGAGCGCAAGGTCTTGCTAGCAGAGGGACTGCAGGGGTGGCTTCTGTAAGAAGGTGCCAGAAGCTTCCCCGGTGTCAGAGGGAGCCAGTTCCAGACAGCTCCAAGATGGACCCACTGCTGGCCAAAGCTGAGCCCATCAGCGACAGTGGTGGCACCTCTGGGATAACGTATTTAAGAAGGGGTAAAAAAGATCTGTGCAACAGCAGCTGGAAGAGAGGAGTCAGGATATGTGAGAAAAGCTCTGCAGACGCAAGTCACGTTTGCTGGATTTTTTCCTACAACTGAGCCACCCAAATTGTACTGGCCCACTTCATATTTTAAGGGAAAGCCGAAACTGGTTTCAGGAAGCTTTGAGAAACCGAAGGCAGTCATCAGCAATGCTGAAACTAATATGAGGCAACCATCCTAGCCATGAGTTCATAACAGCATCCAGTCTTTAAATGTCAAATTTATGCAAAGCCCGAAGTATTTGCATATTTTTTTTTTTGTTAATCTGTGAGAAATTGTGTGTGGGAAGTAATTTGTTAAAGCATTAGGGTATAGAAACATGGCTAAGGTCTTGAAATAAATCTTATAAAACATGGTGCTTTGGAACATAACAGGATGAGAATCTTACCAAAAAATCAGTAAACCCCTAATTGGTAATGGGGTACAGTGGAAAGCGAAAGAATTCACACTGTATATAGAAAAGGAAAAAAAAGGAGGGGAATTCAGATGGAGTTGGTAACTTCTGGAGTATTTGTGAAGGCAGCAAAACTGCCAAGGCCTGAAATCTGTCAAGGCCTGGAAGATTTCTATATTCACAGACAGAGGTAAATCTCCAAGACAGAAAGGGGGGGGAGGGGGGTGCTTCAAAGCTAAGATGAGCAGAACATCCTTGAAGATAAGGAACTAATGAGCTGACACAGCTGCAAGAAACTGGCTTAAATCACAACCCAGAGACAATAAAGGTGAAAAGTTGACAGTGATGAAGACAAGGAGCCTTCATCCCTGTGACCCTCAACGACCACGCCAGGATTTTAGCGCACATGCAACAACAGGCGGAAACTGATGTTAAAGATGGGTTGAGAAAGGCTCTCCTTCCCCTCTGCTCTGCCCTGGTGAGACCACATCTTCCAGTTCTGGGCCCCTCAGCTCAAGAAGGACAGGGACTACTGGAGAGAGTCCAGCGTAGGGCTACAAAGATGATGGAGGGAGTGGAGCATCTCCCTTCTGAGGAGCGGCTGAGGGAGCTGGGTCTCTTTAGTTTGCAGAAGAGGAGACTGAGGGGAGACCTCATTCATGTTTATAAATATTTAAAGGGTGAGTGTCTCGAGGATGGAGCCAGGCTCTTCTCGGTGACAAACAATGATACGACAAGGGGTAACGGACACAAACTGGAACACAGGAGGTTCCAGTTACATTTGAGAAGAAACTTCTTCTCAGTGAGGATGACAGAGCCCTGGACCAGGCTGCCCAGAGAGGTTGTGGAGTCTCCTTCTCTGCAGACATTCAAAACCCGCCTGGACGCCTTCCTGTGTAACCTCATCTGGGTGTTCCTGCTCCGGCAGGGGGATTGGACTGGATGAGCTTTTGAGGTCCCTTCCAATCCCTAACGGTCTGTGATTTCCCCGGAAAACTGTTGAATATGTAAATAACTTTGTAAAAATGTGTGGCTATGATAATGAATGTTACTCTAAATAAAGCTCAACCTATTAGCAGGTGTGCTTTTCAGGCATCCCACTTCCTGAATGCACCCAGCGTGCTGCTAACAAACCTTTGCTTCGCAGAATTTATCCGTCTCTAAATTTGCATTTTGTGAGCGCGTTTCTCACAAACCCGTCCATGTATACGGTAAAAGCACCCATCTGTACCTAGCGAGCCGAAGGATGAAGTCCCTGTGTGTGTAACCTTGGCCCATACCAAAGCTGGGCCTAAACATATTTGAATTTGCTCACGTCCTTTATTTCATCCTCCATTCCTGGCATCTGCAAAACTGGGAAAACACATTCTTTTCCCCAATCCTGCCTGCCATCCATCCGCCCTCCCTCATCCCTACCTTGTTTCGGGGGGGAGCGGACGTGTCCGGAGGGGTACAACGCGAAGGGCAACCGTTCCCATTCTTTCCCCATTTCCCTTTTCCCATTATTTTCTGGAAGCGGAGCATCCCCCTCGCACCCCCCC